CACTATGGACACGCTCCGTGTCACTAGTTAAAATTGCTTATTTCTCTGGATTTAAACATTCTTCGAAACATTTGGGATAATGTAAGTACACAAGTCAGCAAAATATATAACACTGTTCTAGTGGTTTTTGGATATTTTAATAAAAAAATCTTCCATTTTGTGCCTTTAAGACTTAATTAATTAGGAAAATCTTTAAATTTACTTTAAGTAAAAGAAAGTTGTTAATCTTTAAATAAATAAATGTGTATATATATATATACATATCTACAAATTTTAGGGTTTCATCGACTGGCCCAACAGGAAAAGTCCTGGCTATTAATATCTGGGTCCATCTGTTTGTCAGATGTATGGACTAATATGGCTAACAGATCTCAGAAGCAAGATTGACAGTACTGACCTCTTCATCATGCTAACCTCAGCCATCTGTCACGATCTAGATCACACCGGCTACAACAATGCATACCAGGTGAGAAAGCTGCTGTCTCAAGATCTGCTGCTTTTCAGTACACTGCATAAACCGATGGAAGTATCTCCTGTTTCAGATTAATGCACGCACTGAGCTCGCCTTGAGGTACAATGACATCTCCCCACTGGAAAATCACCACTGCGCTGTAGCTTTTGAAATCCTGGAAAAGGTAAAAACGCTGGTTATAGATAAAAATCACAATAGTAAACTTTAGATTTTGAATGTTTAAGCTTAGACTTTGAAAATCTCCTTGACGTACAATGATATAAATTGTTGACTTTTTCATTTATGTAAAAATACATTATATATGTGTAACGGAGGCCAGCGGTAGGTGCTGTGCAGGTAAACCTCACTCCCCTGATCTCAAGAGACGCACTAGCGACTGACACTAGTGGCTGCAGTCTTTAGCCTCCTTGTTAGTGCGTCCGCCTCCCATGCCGGAGACCCACTCGGAGCGAGAACGAGGTGTGGCGGTGAGGACCCGGGGGAGAGGGGTTACATATGTAACTGACAATAATTTGCATGCTGTTTGTGATTGGTCTTTTCGACTTAGTTATACTAGCATATTACTCATAGCACTTTTGTACTTTGCTATGCAGTGTGTATGTATTGTATGCACATATTCTATATGCATGAAAAACCAACATTAATTATTTTTCAGAGTGAAAGCAACATTTTCCGAAACTTGCCGACAGAGCAATACAAAAGAATAAGAGAGGGCATAATTAAGTATATTATTTACTCTTCTATAATCTCCACCATCATATCTATATCAAACCAAAATCTAGGTAAAAACTGAGCAACTTCTCATCACTGCAGGTTTATTCTTGCTACTGATATGACCAGACATACTGAGATCCTCAACAAGTTCAAAGCCATTCTCCCTGTGTTCGACTTCAGCAACAAAGATCACAGAGATGTAGTAAGAGCAATGATATTCGTAAAGGTCTTTCAGTGATCAAACCCAGCAAACCTATATTAGCTACATTAAACGTTCAGCTTTTAGGGCTGTTCTTGGTGACAATCCACTTGAAGGCACTTCCTGTCTTCTGTAACAGTTGATGATGATCATGATTAAAGTAAGTGACATCTCCAATGAGGCGAGACCCATGGATGTGGCAGAACCGTGGCTGGACTGTCTGCTGCAGGAGTTCTTTAATCAGGTAAATATTGCTAACCTTTTATAATAAACAAGTATCTTCCAGTGTCATGTTGGGAGCAGTGCAGTACAATTTTCATTTTAAACAACAGTATTTTGTGCTTTTATGTTATCTAACGTAAAACGAAGGGTTTTGACATCTTAATCTAGAGTGACATGGAGAAGTTGGAGGGTCTTCCTGTCACTCCATTCATGGATCGAGACAAAGTGACCAAACCGTCTTCTCAGACTGGATTTATCCGCTTTGTTCTCTTTCCTCTCTTCATTGAACTGGCCAATCTTTTCCCCTGTCTGGAGGTGAGAAAGTTCCTGGAAAATCTTACACTTTAATAAGACACCATACACTTTAAAGGGATAGTTCACCCAAAAATGAAAATTCTGTCATTAATTACTCACCCTTGTGTTGTTCCAAAGCCGTAAGAGCTTCGTTCATCTTCGGAACACAATTTAAGATATTTTTGATGAAATTATGGTACTGTCATACTATTAATTACAGAATTTTCATTTTTGGGTGAACTAACCCTTTAATAAGTTAGGAGAACTAAAACAATTTGAGATGATCCGTTACATCAAAAATGTAAAGGCAAGGCAGCGCAGGCAAAACCAAGTTTTATCATGCACTGATTAGTTTTGAGATTTTGGGCTATTTTGGTTCTGTAACATGTCTTTCAGATTAGTGGGAATTGTTTATTTAATTGCACTTTATGTATTTGCATCACAAAACATATCTTTCAAGGTTGTTTTCTCAAAATTAGCCAGTAATTCCCACTTCAGTAGTACATACATACACCAAACTTGACAGATTTAATATACATTTTGAAGGTTTTTACAGAGGGGTTTGTTAATATAATATTGACATGATTTCTGATTTATATAGCATTTTATTAAAAGATAAATATAATAATAATAATATTTTTTCTTGCCCTGATTGTTGACAAAATTTTCTGATTTATAGAGTGAGTTTACAAGTTTAAATCTTTAATATGTTAACAAAATGAAATAAGAATTTTGAACCGCGCTTTATCTAATATTCAGATTTCTATTTTGGAAATGTACACAAATTAGTGCATTTTAATTAGATAATGCCTCATTTGCATATTTAGGCATAACATTACAGAAAATTTGTAATACAAAATGTAATGTCTTAATGTACTGTAATTAGTTAACTGGGGAAATGTGGTGATATCTATTAGTCAAAAAGTTTACCCTGTCTGTGGTGTCCTGTCTACAATACACTTCAAGATTTTAATTAAGATTTTGTTTTTCTTCTACACAAACATGTTAATTGCACCTAACTTGAAATATTGAGTTATCTCGTGCAATTTGATTTGTTGACATCTGCAATGCTGTCTAGTAGAAACACTTGAACGTAAGAGCTTCGTTCATCTTCGGAACACAATTTAAGATATTTTTGATGAAATGATGGTACTGTCATACTGTCGTTTTTGATTTCATCAAAAATATCTTAAATTGTGTTCCGAAGATGAACGGAAGGTCTTACGGGTTTGGAACAACACGAGGGTGAGTAATTAATTACAGAATTTTCATTTTTGGGTGAACTAACCCTTTAATAAGTTAGGAGAACTAAAACAATTTGAGATGATCCGTTACATCAAAAATGTAAAGGCAAGGCAGCGCAGGCAAAACCAAGTTTTATCATGCACTGATTAGTTTTGAGATTTTGGGCTATTTTGGTTCTGTAACATGTCTTTCAGATTAGTGGGAATTGTTTATTTAATTGCACATTATATATTTGCATCACAAAACATATCTTTCAAGGTTGTTTTCTCATTAGCCAGTAATTCCCACTTTAGTAGTACATACATACACCAAACTTGACAGATTTAATATACATTTTGAAGGTTTTTACAGAGGGGTTTGTTAATATAATATTGACATGATTTCTGATTTATATAGCATTTTATTAAAAGATAAATATAATAATAATAATATTTTTTCTTGCCCTGATTGTTGACAAAATTTTCTGATTTATAGAGTGAGTTTACAAGTTTAAATCTTTAATATGTTAACAAAATGAAATAAGAATTTTGAACCGCGCTTTATCTAATATTCAGATTTCTATTTTGGAAATGTACACAAATTAGTGCATTTTAATTAGATAATGCCTCATTTGCATATTTAGGCATAACATTACAGAAAATTTGTAATACAAAATGTAATGTCTTAATGTACTGTAATTAGTTAACTGGGGAAATGTGGTGATATCTATTAGTCAAAAAGTTTACCCTGTCTGTGGTGTCCTGTCTACAATACACTTCAAGATTTTAATTAAGATTTTGTTTTTCTTCTACACAAACATGTTAATTGCACCTAACTTGAAATATTGAGTTATCTCGTGCAATTTGATTTGTTGACATCTGCAATGCTGTCTAGTAGAAACACTTGAAATAATAAAGAGATAATATATCGTCCCATTGATTTTTCTATTTTCAGAGGTCAAGCACAACTTAGAGTCGAGATTAGTGACATTTAAAGACAAACATTTCTAACTCTTACTTCTAACCTTACAGCAACACATCATTGACCCAGTGCGGAAAGCCCTGGATTATTACACAGAGATGGAGAAAGCTCTGGAGAGGGAGAAACAGAACCGGGCCCAGAGTGACAAGGTGGTCAAGCCCAGCACCTCAAAAGAGCCAGAAGCTCATCCAGAACCTGGTGGGACGACAAAACCAGTCAACCTGTAATCTAACCTCACACTGTTAAATGTTCATTCTATAATCGTAATCAATTTGAGTTTCAGAATTGCGCTTTAAGGATTAAAGTAAATTTATTTATGCTACTTTTACCAGCTAAATGTACTGTGTGTAATGTATATATATTCAAAAGAGGGTTGAATAGTTTGACTAAATATATACAAAGTGGTAATACTTATATTTAGCCCTTTTCTTATTTTAATATAACAATTTTCATTACAGATTTTGCATAACAAGCTGCATTTAAAATGTTCAATTGAAAAGTGTAACATGAGTATCTAAATATGTTGTATGTCACACGTTTGCTTTAATGACAGCATCTGGAATAAAACTACTTAATGAAAGTACTAAAATCACAGTGTCTGCTGAGATGTTTTTTTAAAATCATTTTTATCATGAATGCAGTGAACATGCACAGTTAGCCCAGAAGATGGCGCTACTGCAAGCTACAATTTCATAGGCATGAGAGGAGGAGGCTATACATGGAACTGTACCATTAAATTATTAAAGTAAGGGATTGTCACTGCTATGTACATTATAGTATTATCATTAAAGTATAATATTTATAATTGTTATAAATATTGACTGAAGTAGGCCTGATGTCACTGATTTTACTGTGCATCTGAAAATGTGCTATTAAAGAGTTGAGGGTCAAAAACATAAATCATCACAGCACTCTTTTTACATTCAAATTTATTTTACAAAAGAAAACTTACTTCATCTTACACATCTATTTCCCAAAAAACATATAGTGTCTCTTTAATCTGACGATGCAAATGGAATAATATGCATGCAGTTTTGTATTTCTCTCAAATACCGTCCTGCACAAGTAATACCCACAATTCCATTTGAACTCCATTTGAAGCCATTAAGTTGCAGAGGCAGGTAATGCATTGGCATGCAGCACTGTACACATTTGCATAGTAAATGACTATCACTTATTTTGGATTAATTTCTCATCGTCCTTTACCAACATGCCATTGCATGAAACAGAACAGAAAAAAAAAATCTATTATTCTCAGGAAGGAAGGGAACATTTTTTTATCGGGGCAGTGGATATAGGAAGTACACTGTTTGTTTTTTTACAAAATGAATTAATTCTGATCAGTTGTTGACAATTTACCACACACAGAATGACATTTAAAACTACATATAGGATGAAAATGCTTAACACACTTTTAAATAAATGAAATGCACAGAGCTCACAAAAAGAGGCACAGAAAGAAACCTTCTGTTTGCAAAAGTTGGAAAAAAATCGAACATGTACCTTATTATAAAGTTAAGGTATAAAGTTACTGGCAGGGAATGTATTGACTGAAACTGAAATGAATAATAATACTAATAATAACAGCAATGTTGGTCCTGAGTGTTGGCTACAATACTGACACCAAAAGTCACCAAAGGACCTTAAGGTTATGGAACATATACCAAAATTTGTAATTCTTTACAAATAAAGTTATGTACATGTAGGGGGAAAACAATACACACACACACACACACACACACACACATACACACATACACACATATATATATATATATATATAAACTAACAGTTAATTTGAGGATGTCCACAAATAGAAGGACGTTTCATAAGGAGACTAAATAATGTCTAGATTAACTTCTAAAAATGCTGGAAGTGTTGTTTTAGGCATATGACCTAATAGTCAATAGAAATAATAATAATATAATATGAATACTATTTCCGAACAATACTGTCAACTGGTTCCCAATTAGCTCTTTATACATTTATAATGTGAATCCTCACATTCTATATGATTCAGAGAATGTTACTGGTTTAAACAAGACAAGTGAATAGTATGTTCAAAGTAGTTTATAGTTTATGAAATATTGCACACAGACAATGGAGTGGGCAGGAGAAATGGGGGTGGCAGTGATCAGAGAATAAGGACACTTTACCCAAACTACATTAACTTCTACTGGCCCCTCAACTGCAGCAAGAAACGTTTTTGAAACGTTTACTGAATGCTTTCTAATGCTACGTACCGTATATACTGAAAATAGCCTACGGACAGACAGAGTTTCTTTCCTACTGGTTCTGCACGTGACAAATCCAGTAGTTTAATACTATCAAAGCTACCTCTTCAGAACTGCTCACAGGTAGAACTTACAGCAGAAATCCAATCATTTCCACACCAAACATATAGTATTAACACTCAGATATGATTAAACCTCAACTATATGAAGCCGCTGAAGGATATGGACCTTCATGCTTTTTGCAACACAGTAACTATAAAACTGAATCGACACTGCTTTTGTTCTCTCTCTGAGCATTACGAACACACAACAGCGATCTCTGTGAGAGGAAACACTGTACAACACAACACAATTAAGCTAATCGAGTCAGACTGCGGAATTGTTGTGATTTGCAGTACCAAGAAATGAGTAGAGAAAAATGCAAACGACAAGATCCAGACAACATTTAAATAACTGTGCTAACATCAATTCAAGCATTGTCTGGACTGTTCATCAAACATCATTTAGCATTTTTCATTGAATAAATGACAATAGAGTTGGAGAAATATCTAATACAATAGAAAAAAATGATGCTTTTTGTCATAATCATGTAAGCCAGCAGCACAACCAAGTAGTTTTGCACATGCAAAGGCAGGAATAACACCTGATTTGTTCATCTGAGCACTTCAGTGTGTGTGAACAGCTTTTGCAAACAGGCCTGATGAAAATAAATTTAAAAAAAAATTACAGATAAAGCTTTCACGCAAAACAAACAATAAAAAATGCATTTCCTTTTATAGTTTTTATGTTGTATCTTAGTCTAAAGTCTAATTTGAATACCAATACTTAGTGTAACTGCTACGGCAACCAGTAACTATACTATAGGTCAGGCATACACTAAATAGTTCAAGACTGGTAGTAGTCATAATAATCAATTACTTGTTTCATAAAGCTTACTAGAACAGATGAACTTTATGGTGATCCACAGATCTGACTAAGGGTAGGTTTACACGACAACAGTGTACTAAAAACAGAAAAGTTTTGCGTTTTTGAAAACGTTTTGTTTACAGATGACAACGTTGTCGAAACGATCCCTGTTCACATGGATTTGCTAAAACAACTAAAAATGCTGTATTATGCATGCCAGGCCAGTAGTTGGCAATGTCACTTTGTAAAAAAACACTATGCAAACATGTAATACACTTGCGCATCACAGTTACAACAAATTCATGTTTTTCTAGTTTACACAGAGGCGATAATAGTATAGTTTTTTTTTTTTTAAACTTGCACTTTGATTTCAAAAGTTTGAATTTTCAGGCCCCCCCAAAAACGTTTTCGTGTAAATGAAGGCTCAAAACGCTTAAAAATTCCCATTTTTAGTTAAAAATTGTGTCGTGTAAACACTCCCTCAGTGACAGAATGGATTTCCACTCAGCCGCCATATATTTCAATGACACAGGCTACTGTGCCGTTTCAATTAGAGTGCTCAACAAAACCCCTGAGAATCTCACTAAACATGCTCAGGTCACATTTCACCAAAAAAAAAAAAGTAAGTAAATAAATAAATAAATAAAATACATATATGGCATAAAGAAAATATAGTTGATTAGACAAGAATTTTTATTATAATAATATTATTTTAATGATAATTAAGCACAAACTACCCTTTAAATTTGCATTAATTTCCATAATATGTATAGCGTTTTTTAACCCATTATTCTGAATAACACTATTTAAAGTAATTATTGAAATTTAACAAATACTATCATGATGCATAATTCTTTACAATGTAAACAAACAAAAAAAAGTTTTTTATTGCAGCAATTAAAATAGAGGAGGGGATGCTTAATTTTTTTTGATGAAAATAATGTCACAATTTGAGTCTTAATGGTCCTAAAACAGGCTTCATTGTATTTATATTGTTTATATTTATTTGTTATATTTATATGATTTTTTTCTTCTGGTTTTTGGGTGAAATATAATCTGTAAATCTTTTAAGGTTTCATGAGATTCGTTTATTTACTATTACTACCAAGCAATGGAGTAATTAAAAATGATCAAATCTACCTGATACTGGTGCTCCGGCGTAATTTTTTGCAACAGCATCCCACTTGTAGGCCTGGGCAAAGTGCTGAGTGAACTATAGGCATTATGGTGTTGCTATCTTTTGTATTTTGCTCAGAAAAAAAGTGTCTGTTGACACTATCTGCAGAGATCATTATGAAAATAGACAGTGGGAAAAGAAACCTCTTTTGGCACCTAAGAAGCATTCCTGCTTCGTACCTGAGGCTGTTTGGGCAAAATAATAGACCATCTAACATAAATACTAAGACAGGAAGAAACAGAATGGTGAACGCATGACACTTCCATTGGCTACTGAAATCGTGCAAAAAGGCTCTGTGCTGATTGGGTCTTGGCACTGTTGAGCATTTCTGCATGCCGGCACTAGTTCAGGGTGAAAATTAGCATGCCACCACAAAACGTCCTGCAAATATAGACAGTGCAGGACTTTAGTTAGCAATTAAACGCAGGGCTTAGGCCTCTACTAGGAGAAACTGGATGGACCAGATGGTACTATAGTTGTCACTCCTCCAAAAGAGCTACTTATCTCAACCATTGCAGATAAAATCAGCACCTCCAACTGCCTGACAAGAGATGCGCAAGGGCTGCAAACAACTGCCTAACATAGATGGACCGGTTTTGCTTTCAGTTAAGATGGCCCATATATGGGGACCTGTGTCAGAGTGAACGCAATGCACTGCATTTTCAGAAAGGGTTTACACAATTACATGAGATTTATCTCATAGCTCTGGCTGTAGTGGACTGGATGTTCAGAGTCGGTGCCGCGAGTCGTTACTGTAGCCCCCGGGGGAGCCCCGGTTGCGGTGAGGTTTGTACGCATCTTGATAGGGATCATGGTAGTCCTCCTCTACCAGAGGGTAGTGGTCTCGACTTTGCTGGGAGCTGGAGGACAGGCGGTTATGACTCTTCTTTTGCCGCTCGTTGTTTTGGTAGTTCTCATCG